CTCAGGAGACAGGTAAGGTGGTCTGGTACTCCCATCTCTTTAAGCATTTGCCACAGTTTGTTGGGATCCACACAATCAAAGGCTTTGACTGAGTTCTATAGGTCCTTGTTAATTGTCCTTTTTGCAGTTGAACAGATTTTCTGACACACCATTAATACATATTATTCTTAATTGCAATAGACAAATGCTATCTCTGCTCGTAGTACTGTAAATTTGGGCTGTCAAAGGCTAATGCTTATATTTACAACTAAAAATGAGTATACCAGCAACATGTTCATTGAAGATGACAGTCTTTCCCCATCTGATAACTTCCAGGTGAATCTGTGAGTACTTAGCCGACTTTCCTGAAAGTTTTTCACTTGGAAGATAGTGAATGAGTTACAGTACCAAAGGCAACTAGTAATCAGCTACCTTCATCCTAAGTACCTACGTTTAACTATCTGATTCCCAATACGTAAGTATAAACAACATTGCACATACCACTGACACTGCTTGGTTGGGTAGACACAAGTTCCTGAATTTCTTGTAGCTCTTTCTGATTAGATTCCAGTGTTTCTAGTAACTGATGCTTTTTGTCAGACAATTCATGCAACTCATGTAATTCCTTTTCTGCAAGCAAACAGAATCAAAACAGGTTATTCTGAGTCTCCTTTTCACCCTTCCTCCTTACCCAGGACTGAGTTGTCATTTACTGTAGAGAGTAAGGAAGATGACCTTGATGGAAATATGTAAGAATTGTTACCTAGGCAAAAGGGGCTGAAACTTTTTTTTAAGAGATCACATTCATATATATATAATTTTTATTAAGATTTTTTTATTATAATAATAAAATCTAATACAAACTAAAATTGAAGAAATAAAAGAAAATAGAAAGAATAAAAAGTGCAAGGAACAAGGAAAAAAAAGAAAAAGTAAGTATATAATAAAGACAGAAAAGAAATATATAAAGAAGTGACTTCTAACCTTCATCACAACAAATATAAACAAATTTAGTAACTTAGCTCTAAAGTTACAAACATTTATCTCTTCTTCCCATCTTTTATCTATAAACAAATATCCATAAAACATCATCTTTTCAGTCCTGGTGTCAGCAGAAAGTCCAAAAGGGGCAGCCAGAAGTAACATCTTATTTTAAGCTTAATCAAATAAACCAACTTTATATCGTATTGTCGAAGGCTTTCACGGCCAGAATACGATGGCTGGTGTGGGTCTTCTGGGCTGTGT